TTTTTTTGCCGAAATCGAGTATCTGCTCTTCCCTACCGACGCAGATCCATTTTCATCACTTCTTTTCAGCGTTCATCAAAAAGCCTCAGAGACTTCGAACCTCGTCCACACTCCTCACGATTTACTGAAGATCGCTTCCAAACCGCTGATCTTTCAGAAGAAAATCGCATTGACTAACACTGACGACCTCCGTCGTCATAAATTTTAAACGAAAATTCGGAGAATTACAACCACAAAATCTTTCTCGTTTTTTTCCAAAAAACAAAAAAATCCACGCGCAACAAATCGTCGTAGTGTCTGGAGTAAGCTATATAAGAACTGAGAAAAATTGCGGACAAGGTATCGTCCCGAGCCTGGGGCGAGCGTGGAAATTAACCATTCCAAGAAAAAAAAAGCAGAATAATCAGAAAATGCATTCGTGGACTAGGAGAACATCTTCTTGAAACTAAGGATTTGGGAATTTTTCGCGCATATCTACTAACTTATGGTCACAAGTATAGTGAATGGAGACCTCATAAAACATGCTGCTGACGCTGACCTTTTTAATCGCTTTCTACGATTCCTCTTCAAAAAATCGTACGCCAGATCCGCTTTTAACAAAAGCATAGTTCTTGGTCGGCCAAAAATACCTCATTATTAGAGCGAAACCTACTTTTGAATCTGATTCCTCATCGTCCCATCCTGACCATGGGGTTGCTGCTTCCTCCATAGTCACGAGAAGAATTAGATATTTGATGAACTCTGGAATAGAACATTATTTGAATGGTAAGTCAAAAAAGCAAGGCTAAGTGTGAAGTAGCGCTGCACAAACACGAAAAGATACTTTGCCAATCGAACTTTCTTGCTTAGGTTAGGGAATAGTAATATTTGAATCATTTCTCATTCGACTGATACGTTTTCATGTTTTTAGGATGATGTTTTTTCTCTGTACTACAAAATGGCACATCTTGCGTCGTCCTTGGTTTATGTCAAATTACAGGCGTGTGAATTAAGAGATCGACGAAAATTACCCAAATCGGCATTCAACTCAACCTTTTTTTATTGCAAGAGTTCAACCAGGCATACCACTATAATACAACACGGTAAACTATTGATCAAAAACGTAGCAAATACCAATGGAAAGGAAGTAAATGATTGCATTAATAATGGACTTCAAAAGAGTATAGAGAAAGTAGCTAAACGCAAACAATTTTTAACACAATAAATCCAGGCCGGATAGAAAAGGACAAACAAAGAAATCCTAATCTTTGTGAATCAGTGTCTCTTTTATTCAAACTCGTTTCCCGCAAAAATCGGAACCCATGTTGATTTGCACGGATTCAAGGGCCAGAATATTACACACACATGTTTCGCGACAACCTACCGTAACCCTTCCATTCGCCGTGGGACCATTTGTCATCATCCTGGTCAACGAAGAGCCTCGGCTGCGAAGCACTATTGCGCCAGACACGCCCCCCTCAGCGACATCGCAAAAATCGATAGCAATGACACATGAATCCGAAATTGTGATTATAGAATGAAAATTTTCTTTTCCGGTCATAATGGTGTAAAAGACTGCGTAGACGAGCTCTCATGAACGAGGGGCATGTGAAACAATGCATCAAGTGATGTGACTATACTGACTGACGAAAACCACGAAATGCGTGTGTGCGGTGGAAAGGCGGGAGCGGCGCGATCGACGTGCACGCGACTGCGACGCACCGCAACGCCGACCATTCGCAGCGCTGGCCACGCCCACCGTGATCAGTGCGTGAAGGGTGGCGGCCGCCGTCGCCATTGATCGGTGTGCGGGACGTGCCGCGCAAAGTTATCGTCCATATTTACCCTACCATGGCCAAGAAGTATAATTGCACCCACCTACTCATTGTTGTTGGTGTAAATTGTTTTAGGACCAAGTGTTCAATTAGCCGTCGAATCTGATGTGTTGTCCGCTTCCCACTCGCCGGTTGCGATGTGAGGGGGGCAGCGCACACAGCGGTTAGTGTCATGCATGGAACAGTACACGGTTAGTGGAGGGTGCAGACGGCGCCCACGTCAGAGACGCAGACAGCAGTCGACGACCTCGCGAATGCGGCCGTCGATGTCGCTGCGGCGACGGACCCCAAATAACTACCGAGCGGTGGGGAGGGGTTTGAATTTGGGGACTTTTGTTTTAGCAAATT